TAAATAATTTAAAAATTGAAAGAATAAAATATTATAAATATTATTTAAATAAATTATTAAAAATATAAAATATAAAAAATTGTACCGGTACCCTCTCAAATAAGATGGGTACCATAGAATTTCTCAATTATTTTAAACATTCATGCGAATATCCACTTTGACTTTGACCTAAGCACCGTACCCATCGACTTGACACGAAAAAATAAAAACTGAATATTTTAAGAGTATATGTGTTAAACCAATTAAATAAGAATTGCATTTTTTTTTCACTCACTTTTTTTTATATGTTTAATTTTTTATCGCGTAACAGTTATTTCTTAAAAATCTATTGAGGAATAGTTTAGATGATATTCAATCAATTTATTGAAAAGGGTACATGTTGTAAACATAAGTTAACGCACGCGTTAATTATTTATGTTTCTTAATTAAATTGCATGTATACGTTCAACAGAAATTAATCACGAAAAATATATTATACTAATATTATAATAATAAAATATTTTAATATTTATTTAGTTTTAATTTCTTTTAATATAACTGGACCTCCCGTGATTTTGACTCATTTAATAATTATAATATTATTACAGCATTTCGCTCTCTATTGACTCTTCCTTCCTATCATCATTATATTATTATCATAATTATCATTATTATTGTCATAATTATCATTATTATTATTATCATATTTATTATTATGTTAAGATAATTAATATAAATTAATTTAAGATAACATATCTTAAAAATGTTATTTCTATAAATTTCTCATTATTTTGTTTATAATATCTATCATATTACCCAACAATACATATGATAAATTGTTATGTAAACTTTAGTCTAATGATGTTGTATTTATGTTGTACTTTCGTGTATCATGAACATCTAATACTATTACTAGTAGTTTTTTTTTTCCTCTATGGACTTGCATAGGTTGTAGTTCCTCTTAGATTTTAGGTTGAGTTATAGGTACATCTGAAAATAAATTATATTAGGTTAGACTTTCGCTATATAGACTGGAATTGCTTTATAAAATTAAAACTAAAAGTTTACATATTATTTATTATAACTTTTTATATGCATGCCATAATATTTTTAAAAAGTTTGGTATAATTTATTAGCTTGTTTAAAAACTTATTTTACGTTAATAAGTTAATAAATTAATTTTTAAATAAGTCTATTAATTTATTTTCAAATATATTTATGAGTTTTTTTTTAATTTATTGAATAAAAAATAGTTTATCCTATTATTACTAAAACTTAAATTTTAATTAAAAAAAAGAATAAAAGGAAATAATCTTTTTTTTAAAATATTCCTTTTCATTTGGAATATTCTAATAATCAACCATAAAGATCTTAAAAAATTACTAGAATTTATATTTTTTATTTTTTGATTTAATGAACAAAAAATGCCAAACATTTAAGTCAAGTGAAAATATAAAAATACAAATAACTAAATTTTTTTGTGCTACAATTTTATTTATTTAATTATATATATATATATATATATATATATATATATGTATATTAGTTAAATAAGATGCGCAATTGCACCTAATATATTATTTTATAAGTTGAAGTTCAGCTATTTAAATAAATAATTTTTTTCAAAAGTTTAAACTTGACATTTTTGTCAAATAAGATAGGTTAAATAAGATTTTAAATAAATCAATCTATAAATTTCTATTTAAATTTTTTTTTTCATCATAATTTCTATTTAAATTTTTTTTTTCATCATTGGTTATATACGTATGAGTCTATAATTATTAAATATTATGTAAAGAATAATAACAAATCATCAACACTAGCATAAGAAATCAATCAAATCATTGTAGAATAATCTTAATGAATCCTTAAACTCTAGCATCCAATTAAGAGAAATCAATCAAAGCATTGTAGAATAATCGTAATTAACAAATCTTTCAACTTTAACATTCAATTAAAAAAATCAATCACACTATTAAGGACAATCGTAGTGAGACAATCTTAATGAATCTATTCATTAAAATTATCTCTTAATAATTTACTACTTCATGTCCTTTTTAACAATAAGGTTGTATACACAAATTAAGAAGCACAATTTATTTTTTGTTTTTCATACAATGATTTTAATGTTTACTATTATGTTCTCATTTATTTTTGTTCAATAATAAATACATATTAGTTATAAGTATAAATCAATTAAAAATCATGTAAAAATATAATAGATAAAATAATAATTAATGTAGTCTTAAATTTTAAAAATAACATATAGATAGAAACAGACTTTTTTCTTTAAAAAAAAAACTGACAATTAAAAAGGAAGGTAGATAGTAATTGATTTCTCTCATTGAATGCTAACGACAAAATTAAAGAATTCTCAATTATTCTTTATACGTTAAGCAAATGAAAAAACATATATCAATTACACCATAAGTTATTTCATAACATCCTAGATTTTTGCAATTAAATATTGATTAACTACTACTATGTCAATTAATTAGGAATGACTAGATTTTCATCAGTTTGATGCAAGCAAATTTTATGGGTGAAATCCTAAGGGGGAATTTGTGATATAAAAAAAAACCTGATTATTTTAGCGGTAATAGTATTTTTATAAAGCTAATTACTGAATGATTGTGTTTTAGTGAGGCTATATATTAGAGTAATTTGGTGTTTATTATTTTATGTGTACAGGGCATGCATTTAAAATATAGTTCGTAAACGATCCACAATGGCAGGCTGAAAGAAAAGGACAGAAAGGGGGGGTAGGTAGGTAAGTAAGAGTGGCTGGAAGAAGAACGCTTGTTCCAACGTGACACAACCCCTTCTCCATCTACTACACTCCATTCTCTTCAAATTTCATCGTTCATTCATTCCCACCTAACACCCCTTCTTTTCTCTTATATTACTCCAATCACAAACCCTCTTAACATACCTCCTAAATTCTTTAATTTCACTACCAACTCATTTCACTTACTTGCAAGTTGCAACAACAACAAAACATTAAGATCATACCACCATGATAACCGTTGCTCCTTCAGAACTTGCTCCTCCTCCATCAACTGAACAGAAAAACAATGTCTGTGATTCCAAAACTACCCATATTTTTAAATCTAAATTACCAGATATACCCATCTCCAACCACCTACCTCTCCACGCTTACTGCTTTGAGAAACTCTCTGAATTCGCCGACCGCCCCTGCCTCATCGTCGGCGCCGCCGGCAAAATCTACACCTACGCCGAGACTCACCTCCTCTGCCGCAAAATCGCCGCCGGATTCTCCGCCCTCGGAATCCGCAAAGGCGACGTCGTCATGATCCTCCTCCAGAACTCCGCCGAGTTCGTCTTCTCCTTCCTCGCCGCCTCCATGATCGGCGCCGTCGCCACCACCGCCAACCCGTTCTACACCGCCGCCGAGATCTTCAAGCAGATTTCCGTCTCCAAGGCGAAACTCATCGTCACGCAGGCAATGTACGTCGACAAGCTCCGCCACCACGAGGACGCCGCGAAGCTCGGCGAGGACTTCAAGGTCGTGACGGTCGACGAGCCGCCGGAGAATTGCCTCCACTTCTCGGTGCTCTCGGAGGCGAACGAGAACGAGCTCCCGGAGACAGAGATCCAACCGGACGACGCGGTGGCGCTGCCGTTCTCCTCCGGCACGACCGGTTTGCCTAAGGGAGTGGTCCTGACGCACAAGAGTTTAACAACGAGCGTGGCGCAGCAAGTCGACGGAGAAAACCCTAACCTCTTCCTCGGCACCGAGGACGTGCTCCTCTGCGTGCTTCCGCTCTTTCACATCTTCTCTCTTAACAGCGTCTTGCTGTGCGCGCTCAGAGCTGGCAGCGCGGTTCTGCTTATGCAGAAGTTCGAGATCGCGACGCTGCTGGAGCTGATTCAGCGGCACCGCGTGACGGTGGCGATGGTGGTGCCGCCGCTGGTGCTGGCGCTGGCGAAGAATCCGATGGTGGCGGAGTTTGACCTGAGCTCCATACGGTTGGTGCTGTCGGGGGCTGCGCCCTTGGGCAAGGAACTCGAAGAGGCTCTCCGCAACAGAGTGCCTCAGGCTGTTTTGGGACAGGTAACTTGCACTGCACTCTTCTTTTAATTTATCATTACATTATCATCAAATTTACTCTTTTCATTTTTTATAAATCAATTTTTTATAGTAGTAGCGATTCTGTGCTTCTAAGTCTCCGTGCAGCATGCATGCAGCCAAATCTTAACCTTTAATTCATCGTTGCACATAAATCAAGATTATAATACACCGTCCAGATTTTTGCTATTGAGTAATTAATGCTGCAGAGAATCTGATTAAGATTTGTGGGGACTGGGGATGCCATGATTTTAAATTATGTACGGAACACTCTTAAAAAAATTGACATGTAGATAAAGGAGAAAATTGATGAAGAGAGGAAAAGAAAAAGAAAAACTAATAAGAAGAAAATAATTAAATGTAAATAAGAGAAAAACTTAGATATTATTATAAAATTGTCAACATTTTTTTTCTTTATTTCTCATTTTAAATATTTTTTATATAAGAAATAGCAAAAGATTTGTTTTTCTATATTTATATAAATATTTTGAATAGCAAACAAATTAAAGATAAAATAACAATTTTATAATTAAAAAACCACTTGTCATTTAACACTCCAACCCACCCACCCACCCACCCCATTTAGCGGCTACTTATTTGACCACATCTCTTGCATGATATCATGGTTGTTGGAGCCTGTTAATACAATGATGCCATTTATTTTACATTCACTGTTTTTTTTTATAATAAATGTATAAATTAATTAAAAAATATATAAGAATAAAGTGTATAATAGTTATAAGAATTTAATATTTTCGTTAAACTTTGAAAATAATAAATCAATTAAAAAAGCTTTATACCAATTTTAAAAAAAAAAAGGCATTGTCTGTAAGTACTAGTACCTTTTTTTTTTCTTTTCATTTTTTTAATAAAAAAACTAGTAGTAGGAGTATATGTTTTTGCGTTTTTATTTATTTATTTAAAAAAAAGAGATTAAATTTGAGATAATATTTAAAAAATATTAATTGTACTTTTAATATTTATATAAAATATCAGACGTCAATAAAATAAAATATTGTCTAGAAAAGAATAATAAATAAAGATGGCGACGGAAATAAAAACTTGGATTTGGGGGCCAGGGAAATTAAATGGACAACCTGTCGAGGCATGGAGAAAATAAAATAAAATAACCTCAACGTGTACCAAGTAATGGTATATAATTCAATAATGTATTTGGACTCATCCCAAACTACATTTTTGTTTCCCCAAGTTTGAGTGTTGCTACGTGTCCCGGGACTCTGACTGAACTCTGAAGTCCCCATCGCCCCCAAGTTATAAAAAGGAATACCCCACTTTTAAAACATTTTCCGGCGTCATCTTTTCATATCGTTTTTAACTGAACTACCATAGCATAACTCAAATTAAATAATTAAGATATTTACTTTTTTTTAGTAAGATTAACACGAGATGTAATGCATAAAAATGTTTAAAAATATATATTATTAATATTTGAATATTTTTCAGATGCAATTTTTTAAGATACCCAATCATGTTTTGAGTACGTAGACATATTACGGCACAAAAAATTGGAACGTGAATATGTCAATCCTTTTGGCTCTGTCAAAATAGTAGCTCACCAAACACCAAAATAAGTTGGTAGGTAAGCCACAATGAATCCGCGAAGGTCAAACTCGGCATCTTCATCATTTTCGTGGTAGCTAGTTTGGGTCAGTTGACTTGGTCTTGCGACGTAATGCCAACACTAGACTGGTCAACGTTCAGTGCTTATGCACGGCAGCATAGTTGCCTAAATTTTAAGTTTCTGCATTATTTTAAATATTCTATGATGGACCACAATATTATAAGGGTTAAAAATATTTCTACTCGATGAGTTGGGCAGGATTGGACTATAAATAAATCAATAATGATACAGTATAACAATTTATTTGATAATTTGTATTATATTATTTTGTATGTTTAGTATATCTTTTCATTTCATTATTAATAAATGTAGTTATATATAATATAATGTGATGGAAATAAATGAGCACAAAATATGACATTCCACAAACTCTTATACCAAAAACATTATTATTATTATTATTTTTATTTTTATAAAAAAAAAGTAGGCCAAACAAGCATGACCGTTACAATAAAATATATATAGGATACCTTGTGCATGATTCTGAGCAAATCATTCATGAAAAAAGAGTTAGAAGGGTGGCAATACATGTGCAAGGCTGATGAATATATTTATACATGTGCTATGTTTGCTTTCCTTGTGTTCTTAAGGTATATATATGTTGAATGTTGAAAATGAAATACTAAAGTTGTGTCATGGTAAAATGTTTAGGGTTACGGGATGACAGAAGCAGGACCGGTGCTGTCCATGTGCTTGGGATTTGCAAAGCAGCCATTCCCAACAAAGTCAGGCTCTTGCGGCACTGTAGTTAGGAATGCAGAGCTCAAGGTTGTTGAACCTGAAACTGGTCTTTCTCTTGGCTACAATCAACCCGGTGAAATTTGCATCCGAGGACAACAGATAATGAAAGGTATAGATTAATATATGCAACCCTTGTTATATATAGTGTTACTCTACAGTTTTTTTAATACACACTTTTAATTGTATTGGAAAACAATCTTTTATTTTAATTGGCTAGGCACTCATTACACTCACATATATATATATGTCAGGATATCTGAACGATGATAAAGCGACAGCATTGACCATCGATTCAGAGGGTTGGCTTCACACCGGTGATGTTGGCTATGTCGATGATGATGATGAGATTTTCATTGTTGACAGGGTCAAAGAACTCATCAAATATAAAGGCTTCCAGGTATATATAATAAACATTTAAATTAACTTTGTCTCTCAAAGTTTATAGAGGAAAAAAATGGGACAACAGTTTATATTAATTATATTTATTCTTTTATGATGTTATAGGTTCCTCCAGCAGAACTTGAAGGGCTTCTTATAAGCCATCCCTCCATCGCAGACGCAGCTGTTGTCCCGTAAGCTTCTTAATCTTCTGAATTTTTATGTATGCCTATATTGTAGAGCAAGAGTGACTATAATAATTTTAATTTATTAATATTAACGCAATTCAAATATGTTTTTACAGACAAAAGGATGTTGCTGCTGGTGAAGTTCCTGTTGCTTTCGTTGTGAGATCAAACGGCTTTGATCTAACCGAAGAGGCTGTAAAAGAGTTTATAGCTAAACAGGTACGTGATAGTATGTGATTTAAGTTGATACATGAAAATTAACATGAACTGACTTCAACATTTTATCAACTTGATTAATTGAATGATATGGGGTATTTGTTGTGAACAGGTAGTGTTTTACAAAAGATTGCACAAAGTTTATTTTATTCATGCTATTCCCAAGTCTCCATCAGGAAAGATACTGAGGAAAGACTTGAGAGCAAAGCTAGAAAACGCAGCCACCCCGACGCCTTAATGGCTAGAACCTGTCCTTTTTTTGCATAGCAATATCTTCCTTATTTTTTATTAATATTATTGGTTCACACGTGCAATTTATGTATCCATGCTTCACGGCATAATGTCAATCCAAGAAGCAGTTCCACTCATACATAATCATTGTAATTTTTATGATCATTGCCCCATCGAGCTTCTATGTCTGTATTGTGATTTTAGATCACTATTTTTCCTGACCTTATTTTATTGGTGTGATCAAATCCTTTATTATTCCCTCACTTCTTCTGATGTCTGGTTAACCATTAGTCTCAATACTTTTTAACAAAAATAATTTGTGGACAGCGATTATGCTATTCAATACCCGCTGAGAGAAAGAAAAAAGAAAAAAGAAATATAGTCATAATAGATGATATATGATGATAATATATATGATCGATGCAATAGGAAATGAAAGATGAAAATAATTATGAGGTGGTGACATTAAGGTGTTTGAATTATGGAGTCTCTAAATTCATTACTCATGTAAATCACCAATTTGGTTTCTTACTGGTCCACGACTTAATTGGTGATTAACGTAGTCCGATTTTTCTAATGTTAAGACCATTGCATAGAGAATATTAAACAAATAAGCATACCTATTTTCTCTTTAAAAATTTGGTTACACGTGTAAAATAATTTTATCTAATAACGAATCATTATATATAATTAGAAGTAACCCCAAACATGTGGTTTAGCCATAGGAGTTGATCCATGCTTAAGTAAGGTTAGAGGTTCGAATCTTGCCTTGTGTATGCAGTGGCGTTAAATTTTGGGGCTAGCTATCCTACTCTTTGAGGTATCTCTAACGTAGCGAGTGTTGGGATACAAACAAGTCCCACATCGATAAAATATGAAAAATAATAACAAATTATATAATAAAAAAATACTTCAATGATTGAGAAGCCTTTTGGGTGATGACCAAAAAGCAAAACCGTGAGGGCTAAGGCCCAAAGTGGACAATATATCATCATTGTAGAGTACAGTTGTAATAAAATTATAAAAATAATACTCATAAAATATCCTAAAAAAAAAATATATATATATATATATATATATATAAAATTAGAAGTGGGATATAGGTCATGATTCGTATACTGACTCGTTAAGCTTGTGGTTGTGGCCCATATAAATAATTGGTTTGTTTGTTTGTTTTTTTAATTTTTAAATTCATATGATCATAGAAAATTTTTGACTAAACCCCCTAACTTTATAAGTTTAAATTGCAAAGTTCATGAGCTAACTCACTTCTCACTAATATTTTAACATTTGGTTGGTGTATTTAAACTGTTATATTTTTAGGACATCAAGGCTTCTGTGTGTTTTTACATGACAAACTTAAAAACAAAATGATAGTTTTGTATACAAAAAAATAAAAATGTTATGCTTACGAGAAATTAACGTTCTTAATCTCAATCGGTCATAAAAGATTACATCGCATCATTATTGATAAATAAATAATTAAATTAAATATTTTAACAATTGAGAGATCAAATAAAATAAAATAAAATAAAATCAAAAGAGTGATTCAATAAAAATATCTTAAATTAAATTGTAAAAAAATAAACCATATCAATTCAACTAGTTAATTTTCAACTAGTTAACTGATTTCGACCAATTCAAACCATGAAACTAATTTTGAAATTCTCCAAATTTTCGAGGTAATGAACCAGCCGATACGCTCAAGCATGAAGCATCATCTAAAATGAAGTCATTAAAATAAATATTTATATTAAGTATCTTACCTACTAAAATTAATACTAGTTTATTTATTTTTTCATGCTAACTCGTGAAGCCAAATGAACACTAATCTCGAGTTTTGGTGGCCAAATTAAATATTTTGTGGTGTTTAGTTTACTGATAATTAACCATCCATATATATGGATCAAAAAGAAAAACCATCAAAATTTAGAACACTCTTTTCATTTGAGTGTTTTGTAACTTGTTTCTCTCGAAGAATGGAGACAAGGGAGGACTTGAGATCGATTCTGCCGTATCTACCACTCGTCATGCGTTCTTCCTCTCCGTTTTGGCCCTCGCAAGCGCTTGAAACGCTCAGAGAACTCGGAAGCGCCCGAGTCAACTCGGGCCACCACTTCTTCGTCGCCATTTCCAAACTCAGAAACGCTCTTTC